ATAAGGTGAATAGCCAAGGTCTCTTCCCGAGCCTAAGGGAGTCCAGACTAGAAGGTATGGGTGTAAGGTGAGCGGGGAAAGATTTAAGAGAGACCTGAGGGGCAACTTTTTCACACGGAGCATGATGTGTATGTGGAACGAAGTACAGAAGTACTATTAGAGGCGGGTACAATTACAACATTTAAAAGACAATTTGGACTGTGCAAATTTAGCTCAGTTAAAGCCACCAGTGCATAAAGACCATGCAGCACATTTACGTGCAATGAGAAGCCAAGCCCAGACATTGCAGTCCTATAGGCACTACGTATGCAGTGCAAAACAACTTTATGGAATGAGAAAACACGGTGAAAAGAACCATGCTATTTAATTAAGATAGTTTGATATTGAATTCATGCATAATCAACATTGGGCCATTGCATCTTCAATAAGTAAACAGTAGCAGCAAATGAATATCAACATTATCATCTCAAATGTTGCAGGCTGAGTTTAGAGATATAACTTGCAGCTGCGACAAGATTAAAAAGAAACTGAAGCAATATTATTTGTTGGACCCAACATCAGGCTTGGGCCTCCACAGGACATTGTTAGTACAACTGAAGAGTTTTAACAAATGCTTTACTGGTTTATAATGAAAATAATTTGTTCACTGCTAAAATGTGAACTTGAATGCCAACACATTGTCATTCTTCCTAAAGAAACAAGTTCTAGTTCCAGGTTAGCTGGGTATTTAGTATATCAGTGCTTTCAAGTCATGATCACAGGCTTTACATAAAGCATATCAACTGCTTGGTTAATTTTCCAGAGTTTTGCTTTTCAAACTATGTCAGCAGTCTTTCAGTGGAACAGGATATGAATGCAAGAATCAGAGACATGCACAACACTGTATTAAGCTCATATTATTTGGTTCAATGACACAGGGTAATCAGTTCATTCAATTGATCAGATGGGCCAATCGGCCAAGGAGATGGGAGTTTAATTTCGATAAATGCGAATTACATTTTGGTAAGGCAAACCAGGGCAGAAATTATAGTTAGTGGTAGGGCCCTACGGAGTGTAGCTGAACAAAGAGACAGTGCTGCAGGTGCATAGTTCCTTGAAAGTGGAGTCGCAGGTAGACAGGGTAGTAAAGAATGCGGTTCGCACACGAGCCATCATTGGTCAGAACAGTGAGTATAGGAGTTGGGATGTCATGTTGCAGCTGTACAGGACACTCGTGAGGCCACTTTTAGAATATTGCATTCCAATTCTCGTCGCCCTTCTATAGGAGGGATGTTATTAAACTTAGCAGGGTGCAGATAAGATTTACAAGGATGTTGCTAGGAATGGAGGGTTTGAGTTATAGGGAGACACTGAATAGGCTTTTTCCCATAGAGCGTCGGAGGCCGAGGGATGACCCGACAGAAGTTTATAAAATCATGAGACGCATGGATAGGGTGAATAACCAAGGTCTTTTTCCCAGGGTGGTCGAGTCCAAAACTAGAGGGCATAGGTTTAAGGTGAAAGGAGAAAGATTTAAAAGGGTCTTAAACGGAACTTCTTCATACAAAGGGTGGTACATGTATGGAACGAACCTCTAGAGGAAGTGGTAAAGGGAGGTACACTTACAACATTTAAAAGGCATCTAGATGGGTACATGAATAGAAAAAGTTTAGAGGGATATGAACCAAATGCAAAAAAATGGGACTATTTCAGTTCAGGAAACCTAATTGGCATGGATAAGCTGACCAAAAAGCCTGTTTCTGTGCTATATGACTCTACGACTCTGATCTGTCCTCGGAAAGGGCCTAATAAGCCCCTTAGTTGCAGCAAAACTGGTGCAAAGTCTAAAAACTGAGTTAAACTCAATGGATCACCCTAGGATGAAACACTCAGTGAGAAAGAGGGCAGAATGTATGCTGTATGATGGACTTCAATGTCCATCACCAAGATACTGACTAAAATGACCAAATCCTGAAGGACATACTGCTGAACTGGGTTCTTAGACTTAGACTCCCTCCAGTGTGGAAACAGGCCCTTCAGCCCAACAAGTCTACAGCATCCCACCCAGACACATCTCCCTATAACCCATCTAATCTATACATCCCTGAACACTATGGGCAATTTAGCATGGCCAATCCACCTAGCCTGCACATCTTTGGACAGGGGGAGGAAACCGGAACACCCGGAGGAAACCCATGCAGACACGGGGAGAATGTGCAAACTCCACACAGACAATCACCCGAGAGTGGAACCGAACCCAGGCCCCTGGTGCTGAGGCAGCAGTGCCAACCACTGAGCCACCGTGCTGCCCTGTTCTGTGAAGGAACCAACCGGAGGGAAAATCTTGAACTCACCCTCACTAATTTCCTGCTGTAGTTGCATCTGACTATGATGATATTGGTAGGGATGACCACTCCAGTCACTGTTGAGATATTGTTGAGAATATCCTCCTTGGTGTTGTGCAGTGCTAACAAGGACGGACTTGCAATTCAAAACTGGGAATCAGGCAGCATAACTGTATTCAACCACAATTTGTATCCTCGTGGCCTGGCATAAGCCACTCTCCACTATTACCATCAAGTTAGGAGACTGACCTTGGTTCAACTAAGAGTCCGTGAAGGTATACTAGGAAAAGCGTGAGGCATACGTAAAAGTGAGGTGTGAACCGGTGAAGCTACAACACAGGACTACTTGCAAACCAAACAGCATTGTGAGTAAGCAATAGATAAGGTAACTAATTCCACAACAAAAGATCAGATCTAAGCTCTGCTCTTTTGCCAAACCAGTCGTGAATAGTGATGGATTATCAAAGAAGTAAAAGAAAGTAGAGGTTCTGCAAATTTCCCCATCTTCAGTGGTTGGGGGAGCCCAGCAAATCACTGCAAAAAACAAGGCTGAAGCCTTTGCAACAATCTTCAGATGGAAATGCATAGTGGGATGATTCATCTCAGCCTCCTTCTAAAGTCCCCAGCATCACAGGTGTCAGTCTTCAACCAATTCGACTCACTCCACATAATCTCAATAAGTGGCTGAAGGAACCTGATACTGTCAAGTCTTTGAGGGTCTGACAACATTGCAGCAAAAGCACTGAAGGACTGAGCTCCAGAGCTTGCTGTGCCGCTAGTTAAGCTGTTCCAGTATTGCTACAACACTTATATCTACTTGACAATGTGGAAAGCTCCCCAGGTAGATTTTGTATCCCACAAAGCAGGATAAATCAATTGTTGCCTGATCACTCTTCTTTTGATCAGCAAAGTGATGGAAAGGATTACTGACAGTGCTGTCAAGCGGTGCTTTCAAAGAAGCAACTAGATCAATAACACTCAGTATGGCTTCTGGCAGGGCCACTCAGCTCTCAACTTCATTATAGCATTGGCTCAAACATGGAAAAAGAGCACAACTCCAGACATGAAACGACAGTGACTGGCCTTGACATCATTTGGCAAAGTATAGCATCAAGGAACCCTGGAAATGACCTTGCCGTCATCAGAAGGTCTGAAGTGGGCGTGTTTGTTGTTGACTGGTTCAGCACCGTTCATGACTCTTGAGATAATGAAGCAGTCCATTTGGAGCAAGATCTTGATAACATCCAAGCTTGGTCTAAATGGCAAGTAACATTTGGAATACACAAGTGACAAATCCAAAAAGCAAGAATCTAACTATCACCCTCGATTTTCAAGGTCACGACCATCACTGAAGCCCCCACTAACAATTTCGGACTACCAGTGATCAAAAATGAACTGGACCAACCATATAAATACTGTGGATACAAGAGCTGGCCAAAGGCTTGGAACTGTGCAGTGCAAAACTCACTTCCTGTCTCTCCAGTACTTGTCCATTATCTGCAATGCACAAGTCAGTGTGATGGAATATTCCCCATTTGCTTGGATGGGTGGAGTTCCAACAATACTCAGGATAAATCAGCCTAGTTGACTGGCAACCCACCCATTTACTTCACCACTGATGCACAGTGGCAGCAGCAAGTAGCATCTACTAGATGCATTCCACCAACTCACCAAGGCTTCTTCAAAAGCATCTTCCAAACCGGAGATCTCTACCTCCTTAGAAGGATAAGTGCAGCTGATACCCAGGTTCAGAACCATCTACAAGTTCTAGTCCAAACCACATACCATCCTCACTCGGCGCTATATTGCATTATTTCACTGCTACCAGGTTAAAGTCCTTGAACTTCCCACCAACATTATGGATATATCTGCACCACATGGATTGCAGCAATTGAAGAACAGTACAAGTGCTAACACACCTACTGATGCCCACATTCTATGAACAATAAAGAAAAAATCATTTATACATTTACAATGAAATCCAATTGTCATCTCCAGGATAAAATCTTGATTTTGAAACTTCTGGGCTTTGATCCCTAAAGAATTAGTGTTGTTTACACGAGTTTAGCTTTTACACAAGCACATACAGACTGTACATCTTCAAATGTGGGGGGATAAATGAAATATATATGTCATTGAGCTGTCTACTCTGAAACTTTAATCAGATTTGCAGCAATCTACTTCCTCTGTTATTCCCTCAACCATGCAGTTAGCTAGATCAGACCTATTGCAGATGCACAAAACAAGTTAAAGAAACAAAGGTGGCAAATAGAGTCCTCTGTCCTGAAGAGTAAGTGGGCTGTTGTAAATCGTGACAAATAGTAAAGAACTACAGATATTCTGAAGAAAGGTCACTGGACCTGAAACATTGACTCTGCATTCTCTCCACAGGTGCTGTCAGACCTGATGAGTTTCTCCTGCAATTTCTGTTTTTGTTGTAAATTTGGTTTGATTTTCATTGTTCAATATGCATATAACTAACATTTGCACAGGAAAGCAGGTTTAAATGGTGCTAAAGGATGTCTGAAAGATTGCATGCTTCTCCCTTACTTATTTTTCTAAAGGATTTTCTTGTAACTCAATGTACAGCAAGAATTGAAGTTATCTTTGTTCACAAGCACAACATGCAATCAAATACCATATTGCTGTGTGATGCAGCAATATGCTAACACTCACCTTCTCCCTTTATGTTTGTGAGATGTGGGTTTGGGTAAGTGGATTGCTTCTTTCAGGGCACCTTTCAGATGAACGGTCCTTTCTTGTATAACCTCTCGTATATGCTTGATCCAATCTTGTTTATTTTCAATACTTGATGCCTTCAACACAAAAATATCATTGCAAAACAGAAAATAACTACGGAACAACATTTCCTCTGCACAGTGTACATTATGAAATTGTAAAAACGTTGTTTACAAATAGGTTCATTCAGTGTTTAATCTTTAAATTTTACAAATATATACACATTATTTACAAAGATAAATAGACCTAAAATAAACAGTCAAATGATTGCTTTATTTAATGAACTGTTAATTGATTTATACAATCAACACTGTTATTGTTGAGGGCTATAATCTCAACCAATGTCTTGATCCAGAGCCGATTTTATGATTAGTGAAATGCCATGGAATGAAGGAACTAAGTTACACAAGTGGGTAGTTTGTTTCTATCATGCCAATGAGGCAACTGAAGAGTGGAAATCGGGTACTCAACACTGCAGGAGCAGGAAATGAAATAGGACAAACACAGTTATATCTTAAGGCTCTATCACTTGCTGCAAGGGTCTTAATCTTGATCCACTTTACTGGTTTTATATGAAGAACAAGGAAAGAACAGAACTGTGCTGAATCTCAGATTCTCATAACTCAGCAGTCCATGAATGGAACTAGGTCAGAAGCGACCTTATGTTAATTCATTTGAAAGTTCTCAAATTCTAAAAGAAAGCCACAAATACCTTTAAAACAATTTTGTTGTCTGATGTCGGAGTCCGTCCAACCCACAATGCAAATTTACAATGATCGCCTTCAACATGTTCTGTGACCCCAAGTTCTGAGGTCTATAAAAGAGAAAATATTCATTCAACTCTCACTTGTTTCCTAATTGTTAATGTAAACATAGGTAAGAAATGCCCCATTTTACAGGTATATTTTCTAGAGTATTATACTTCTGAACAAAACATACCAGACAAGACAGCATATCTATACATATACAGAAAGCTAAACATAAAACATAACATAGTAATATCAAATTGATAGCTGACTGGATGAACAAGGATATTTATCACTTCCAATTCCAGTATCCTGATGAACTTTGACGTTACTTTCCTCAGAGTTCACAATACGTACTTCCAAGCTTCACGTCATCTGCAAATTTTGAAATTGTGCCCTGCATACCAAGCTCTAGGTCCTTAATATGAAAAGACCAAAGCTCCCATTCACCAATCCCTGTGGAACTCTACAAACCTTCCTTTGGTTCAAATTAGTATCTACTGTTTTCTGTCACTCAGCCAACATCATATCCATGTTGCAGCTCTCCCTTTTATTCCACAAGAGATAACTTTGTTGAGAAATCCATTGTGCAGCACTATATCAAATGCCTCTTGAAAGTCCATGAATGCCATATCAACAGCATTACCCCCATCAAACCTTTCTGTCAGCTCTTCAAAAAATTTCAGCAGTTAGTTAAGCATGATATGCTTCACTACAAATCAATGCAGGCTGTCTTTAATTAACCTGTAGTTATCCAAGTCACAATTAAGTTCTGAATAATTGTTTCTAGAAGCTTCAAGGGCACCAAAGTAAAACTGACTAGACTGTATTTGAGGGCTTATCTACACAAACTTATTTTTGGAGAAGAGTGGCAACATTTGCAAATTTCTAGTTACTGACTCAAAACCTTAGACAGAGAAGGGTTGCCCAAATAATGGCCCGGAGCCTCCACCAATTTCTACTTCAGCAACTTCAACTCTCATTCCTTCTATATCCTTGGGTATATTTCATTTGGTCCTGGCATCTTAACAACTTTAAGTACAGCCTATCTAATACTACCTCTGTATCAAATTTAAACCCTTCAAATGCCTGAATTACCTTCTCTTTCATTATGATCCATAAAACATCATCTTCCTTGGTAAAGACACATGCAAATTTGTGCTCCATTTGAAAATTTCCTTTTTGGTCCCTAATTGTCCACACTGCTTTTATGACTTACAAGCCTGTAGAAGACTTTGGGCTTCCCTTTTATGTTAGCTGAGGGTCTCTTCTCATGCTCTCTCCCAAATTATTTAGTTTGTTTTTTCACTTTTTTCTGAATCTTCCACATTCAGTCTGCATTAGTATTAGCCATCAGTCATATATCAAGAACACATTTTAATTCTTTAATGGTGAGCTGTTTCGTTATCACAGGAGCTGTGTATTTGTTAGCCCTACCTTTCCCATTACCCATTGACATTGGCTGTTGTCCAGTTATTTATTCTTGTTCTGGATTGCTATTTATCTCTTTCCAAAATCAACCTAAGTTTTAAGATACAATGCTTACTGTTCCTTCATTCTCCTCCTAACACCTGACTGACTTGGCCCATCCCATTCCTGAGAACCAGATCTTGTAGGACCTCATTTTTCTTTGGATTGGAAACATTTCCTGAACTAACACTTATCTCTCTGCCATTTACACTATTATCATCTCAGTCCATATAAAGATAATTCAAGTACCACATTACAAATGCTTTATAATTCTTGACCAAGTAACATAGGAGCAGGGTGGGCCATTCAGCTCAATGAGCCTGCTCTGTCATTTAATACAATCATGGCTAATCAAAGACTTCCACGCTTTTTTTATCCACATCATCCTATAGCCCTTTATGTCATTAATAACCAATCTCTACTTTAAATGTAGTTAACATGTTGCATTTATCACACCTAGAGATGACTCAAACTGCTCCACGTATATCATTTTGAACTGCAGAGGATTATAAAGGCAAGCTTGTTTGACACTAATTTTCAGCACATCACTATCCCACCAATAACAGTGACAGTTAATGACCATCCAATTTGCCTTTTATTTGTTAGTTCTGAGGGGAATGGTAGACCAGGTCATTGGAGAATTCCCTGTTTATCCGACTATACTACTGTCTGAAAGGTAGAATCACTGACACTGCAGAACTTCAGTATTGAACTGTGGAGTCAATCTTAATATAAGAGAGCTCCTGACACCCAGTAAACCTGATCAAAGATTACGAAAGCTACAATGGTGTCATGGGTCCACTAAAGTATCCATAACCTCCTACTTTAAGTATTTTGCCATATTTAAAGGAACAAGTCAAACTTGGCAGTTTTGACTAGTTGGTGGTGCAACATTTTGAACCAATTGACTGACATAGCTCCCATTAAGTCCCAGGTCACATTTTGATTTAAACACCAACAGTGGATCACTAATCTTGAGATTGTTGTATGAGAAAAGCCCATCCCATCTCTCCCCATCACGGTCTTAAATGGATTACACCTTATATTTAAGCTTGTAGTTCCAGATTCTCTCATGAGAAGAAATATCCTTTCCACATTTACTCCTGTATAATCCTGTCAAGTTCCCTTACTCTTCGCAACTCCAGTGAATACTAGACTAGCCTGTTCAACCTCTCCTCATAAGACAGCCACCCATTTTAAATATTAGCCTTGTAAACCTTCTCTGAGCTGCATCCAACTCATTAGACCATAAAACATGGAACAGTACAGCACAGTTCAGCTCACAATATTACACCAATCATGACACCAAATTAAACTAATCCCTACTGCCTGCCCTTGGTCCATATCCCTCCAATCCTTACATATTCATGTGTTTATCTGAAAGTCTCTTAAACGCACTTATCACCTCCACCATCACCCCTCACAGCACATTCCAGACTCCTACCACTCTCCGTGTAAAAAACATGCCTCTCATGTCTCCTTTGAACTTAGCCCCATGCCACCTTAAGTGCAAGTCCCCTAGTTTTAGACATTTCAACTCTGGGAGAAAGATTCTGATCATCAACACTATCTATGCATCTAAATTTTATAGACTTCTATCAAGTCTCCTTTTAGCCTCCACCGCCCCAGAGAAAACAACCCAAGTTTTTCCTGCCTCTCCTTATACCTCACACCCTTTAATCCAGGCAGCATTCTGGTAAACCTCTTCTGCACCCTCTGCAAAGCCTCCACATCCTTCCTCTGATGTGCTGACCAGAAGTGAACACAATACTCTAAGTGTAGCCTAACCAAAGTCTTATAAAGCTGCTAAATCAATTCCTGACTCTTGTACTCAATTCCCCAACCAATAAAGGCAAGCATGCCATATGCCTTCTTTACCACCCTATCTACTTGCATGGTCACTTTCAGGGAGCAATGGACTTGAACTCAAGATTCCTCTGTACATCAATGCTGTTCAGGGTTCTGCCATTAGCTGTAAACTTTTCCTTAACATTTCATCTCCCAAAGCGCCAGGACCTCACACTTACCCGGATTAAACTCCATCTGCCATTTTTCCACCCATATCTGAAATTGATCTATATCCTGCTGCATCCTTTGACAACCTTCTTTCCTACCTACAACTCCACCAATCTTTGTATTGTCTGCAAACTTATTAATCCACCCATCTGTATTTTTATCCAAGTCATTTATATATATTATGAACAGTAGAGGTCACAGAACAAATCCCTGCAGACCTCCAGCTAGAAAAACACCCTTTTACCACTACCCTCTGCCTTCTACAGGCAAGCCAATTTTGAATCTACACGGTCAAATCACTGTGGATCCCATACATCTTAATCTTCTCGATCAGTCTACCACGAGGGCCCTTGTCGAAAGCCTTACTAAAATCCATGTAAACAACATTCACTGCTCTACACTCATTGGTCACCTTTGTCACCTCCTCGAAAAAAATCAGTCAAGTTCGTAAGCCATGACCTACCCTGCACAAATCTATGTTAACTGTCGCTAATTCGGCCATGCTTTTCCAAATGCGTGCATTATCCCTAAGAATTCCCTCCTTCTTTAAATACAAAAACTAATACTGTATACAATACTCCAAATGCGGTCTCATCAGTGCCCTGTAGAACTGAAGCATAACCTCCCCACTTTTATATTCAGTTCCCTTTGTAATAAACTATAATATGCCATCAGCTGACCTAATTAGTTACTGTACCTGCAAATTGACCTTTCGGAATTTACATATTTGACAATTCCGGTTCCCTCTGCATCTCAGAGCTTTATAATAGTTTACCATTTAAATGGTAAATGTGCAGACCAGCTGGCAGGAGTACTCGCTGACATCTTTGAGCTTTCCTTGCTACAATCTGAAGTCCCCCTGCTTCAAGAAAACCATCATCATCACAGTACCAAAGAAAACACCTGCAACGTGCCTCAATGACTACTGCCTGGTGGCTCTGACCTCCAGAATCATGAAATGCTTCGAGAGTTAGACGTGGCTCATGTCAACTCTAGCCTTCCAGCCTGTCTCAATCCTATGCAATTTGCCTACTGCCGAAACAGGTCCACAGCGGACACCATTTCCCCTAGCCCTGCACAAATCCTTGGAACATCTGGATAATAACGATACCAATGTCAGACTCCTACTTATCGACTACAGCTCCACTTTTGACACTATAATCCCAACCAAACTAATCTCAAAACTCTGAGACCTAGGTCTTGGCTCAACCCTCTGCAACGGGATCCTCAGCACCCTGACCCACAGACTGCAATCAGTGAAGATAAACAGCAGCACCTCCTCCATGAGGATCCTCAACACCAGCACCCTGCAAAGATGCGTACGCTGCACACCATTGTACTCCCTGTACACTCACGACTGTGTGGCCAAATTTCGTACAAACTCTATCTAAAAGTTGACACAACTATTCTAGGCTGGATATCAAACAGGAAGAATACAGGAAGAAGATAAAATGCTTGGTGTCGTGGTACAAAGATAACAATCTCTCCCTCAATGTCAGCAAAACTTAAGAACTGATCATTGACTTCAGAAAGAAAGGAGGACGACATGTGTTTTCTACATCAATGGAGCTGAGGTGGAGACAGTTGACAGCGGCAAGTTCCTAGGAGTGACCATAACCACAATTTGTACTGGACCACTCAAGTAGATGCAACGGTCAAGAAGACACAACCATGCTTCTTCTTTCACAGGAGGATTAGGAAATTCGGCATGTCCATAAGGACCCTCACCAACTTTTATAGATGCATCATAGAAAGTATTCTAACTAGGTGCATAACTGCTTGGTATGGCAAGCTCAGGACTATAAGAAACTGCAGAAACTTGTGTACTTGGTCCACACCATCATGCAAGCGAACCTCCCATCCAATCTACACTTCTTGTTGCTATGGAAAGGCTGCCAATATCAAAGATCCCTCCCACCCCAGTAATAGTCTCCTCCAAGCTCTTCCGTCAGATGGAAGATAGAGAAGCTTAAACACATGTACCAACAGGTTCAAAAACAGGTTCTTCCCTGCTGTTATTAGACTGCTGAATAGACGTTTCTAATTTCAATTCTAATGTTGATCTTGCTTTTGTGCACCTCCTGTGCAGTCGTAACCTTGTATGCCTTGGTCTGTCTAAACACCTTATGATCTGTATATCTTTGTATGTTGTGATCTGTCTGTGCTGCACACAAAACAAAAACTTTTCACTGTACTAAAGTACATGTGACAACAATAAATCAAATCAAATTAAATAGTATGCTTGTTTATTCTTTCTGCCAAAATGGACAATTTCACACATTATGCTCCATTTGCCAGATCTTTGCCTGCGTACTTAACCCTATCTATATCCCCTTGAAGCTTCCTTACCTTCTCCTCACAACTTACTTACCTTTATGTCAAAAATATCTTAGCCCATACCATAAGCTTTTAATTTCACAATAACCGTTATATCTTCAAAACATCTTCAGGAGATTTAACTACTGTACATGTTCTCCTTTATCCACAGCACATTACTTCGACAAATAACTTGAATAATTTGATTAACCAACTTTCTTTTCACCATGTTGACTCTGCCTGATTACCCTGAATTTTTCTACATGGCCCAACTATACCATTTTAAATAACAGCATCTAACATCAGATGTTAGACGTCAGATGTCTGTAGATCTTGGTATTCCCTTTTGATACTACCTGCTGGTTCCAATTTCTGTCAAGTTAATTTAGACCCTCTCTAGTCACATTAGCAAAATGGACCAGATGCAATTCAGACTTGGTTTTGTTTAGGCGCAACCTAATTGGCCTATAAAATCCCATCTCCCCCAGAGTTGGTCCTTTGTCACAGGAATCTAAAGTGCTTCCTCTTGCACCATTTTTATTGCCAATCATTTACCTATTTTATTCTCCAATTTCTATAGTCAATTACATCTGGTACTGGGACTACTGAAGTTCCACATGCTAGTTTCCTACCCAGCTCCTTAACTCTGGCAGCAGGGCCACATCTCTTTTTATGCTGTTCATGCCAATGTGGACCATGGGAACTGGCTGCTCACTCCTGCCTTCTCAGGGTGTTTTGCAATAGCTCAAGGACACCAGGGAGGCAGAACAACATTCTGAATTCATATTTTTATCTGCAGAAACATCTGCCTATGCTATCATTATTTCTCTTCCAGTTTTCTTTGCATCCCCTTGTACAGCTGTACCACCTGGTTTCATTTTCATTTACTTAGTCATAACCAGAGAATCACTTGAAATGACTTATTTTCCCTTAACTGCAGCATTACGTCAGCGGTCTCCCTAAATCTATCCCTTGGCTTCCTACCCCTTCTCATCTATTTTGTCCTTTGCAACATCATCAGAAAACATATAAAGTTCCTCAATAATGATGATGATGATATATAACTCCTACAGCTCCAAATACTCCCACCTAAATTTTCAGAATGTTTTGGCCAACATCAAATATTGAATGAACAGAAATTTGTCCAGTTGACACTCTGAAGACTAAACTGAAGAGACTGCCATTGGTTCCCTGACAAAAATTCAATTCCAGTTAATGGCACCTGTCTGAGGCTGAACCGGACTGGTGCAAGCTTTATACTATATTTGCTCTCAAAATGTACTTCTGAACACAAATTCGGAACACACTCAGACTGCTATCTCTATGGCATCGCCTGCTCTGCCCTGCCTCAGTTAGTTTGCTACAATGCTGCTCACTTATTGATGAAACCATTGTTACCTCTAAATTTGACTAGTTCAAAGCACTCCCCTAAGCTTGAAGTTCCATCTTCCACCATTACAAACTATTTCAGCCAAAAATTTGCTATTGCCATCCCAACTTTGTATCATAATTTTGTAACCTCGCACAGCCCTATAACCTTTTAAGATATCTGTGCTCTTTCAATCTGGTCTCTTACACACGCCTGGTCCACAGTTGGCTGTCAAGACCTTGAGCTCTGGTTTGCATTCCCCAGTCCTCCTTTAACATGCTCTTTAAAACCTATATCATTGGCCAAGCCTTTAGTTACCAGTTTATATGTTTGGTGCCAAATGTTGTTTGGTAGTGCTTTGTGAAGCATACTGTAATGCTTGATTATGTTAAAGGTGCTACATAAATATCAGTAGTTGTAGAAATAATAGAAAAAGAATGATGAACTTGCTTTCAACTTATAGAAATTGATTAAAATGAATGATTAATCAACAAGTGAAAGAGAATTGCTAGTTCCATCTGAAATGTTAAATCAGAGTTTAAACATTTCTGCTCTGGTGAAAAGTCACACCTGAACTGTTTTCTGATCAGCCGCATCCTTAACTGCAAAAAGCTTAATTTCCACCCTCATTCTGAAGCACCGGCATTCCAGCATCCACTGATTGAACTTACAAGCAGTTTGTGTTTGTAGATGTATTTACTCCTCCCATTGGAATCTTTGATTTCTTTGCTGAAGATGAGTGACATTTCAAACAGGAAGAGATGTCTCTCTCGGCCTTTGCGGATTAATGATTTAGGATCCCACACCTGGAAGGATTCTTGCAGGATCAGCTCTCCCTGGGATTCCAGATTCTCATCAAAGCCTAATAACAATAACAACTCTTTCAGATCTTTTCTTTGGTGTGCAAGCACAAGTCATTTTCTCCAAATACTGTTATTATTGAAAAAGGCCTTTGTGGAAATATTCTGATCAAATTCGAATTGTATTACTTCAGTTCTTTATGGATGTGCCTTCTAAACACATGAACAAATTATACACAGCATAGTAATTCTGATTATTTGTTTCTAACCAGCTAACTGCTTTATTGTATAACAGTTATATTTCAAGGAGTAATTTTCTATGGTTTTGTTTGCATCTAAATATAACGTAAAACATTAGTACTTCTGATGAATTTCACAAGAAGTCAGAAGCTTAAGTATACAGCTGGATATAAAAGGCACACCTTCTAGCATGCTGAGATGCATGGCATCGTTGGCTCGCTTTGGCACACTCAGCATCACCTCCAGGCCATCTTTAATTTCGCCCTTTCCTTCTTCACAGCATGTTAACAGTTCCTAAAAATTAACAGAGCCACAGAGAACTAAACTTTATTAATATTTAGAAACTTCTATAACCATACAGACACTTCTAGAAGAACTGGTTCCATTGCACTGACAACTTCCTTGATTTATTGAAAGGTTATGCATCAATACAAGTTCATCAAAGTAGCAAGCTGAAATAACCAGATTTATTTCTGGACTCCGTCCTAATAAAGAATACATGCCCATTCTAGATTGAATCTGCACAATTAATTCAGTCAACAATTACTGTAGTTCTTGCGGAATAGTCTCTACCTCTGGGTCAGAAGGTTTGCATTGAAGTTTCAGCTGCCTCGGAGGTGTTGATTATAAGTAATTATAATCCATCAGATCTTATAGTTTAACTTCTCCAAAACAATCCCTTATTCTTATGAAATGCTCAAAGCTACATCCACCTACCTTTAAAAGCAGCTGATATTTAGTTATTCGCTGGACAGGTTTGATAAGATAGGAAGATATTGAGTTGGCCAGTCCATGGCGATGTTGTATTTCCTAATTTTAAAAAAATGTAACAATAAGAGTTAATACTATGGATATATAAAAATATAGTCATTCACAGTGTAAGACTATTTCTTGGATGCAAACAGCTTTCATTGCCTCCATACATGTCATTGCTAAAAATCTGCACAGAAAACCTCCATTGCTACTGTCATATTTTCGAGATCATTGGGACTTACTTTCAATTTTCCTGCTTCCAATTTCCAAACATAAAATTGGCAGAATACTGAATGATTTAGCAGGCTAGAAGTCTGCATTGATCTGCATGGATTTTGAGGGACTGATAAATTGGTAAGTGACTATTTTTTCAGGTACACCTTTCCAATTTGGCACACCATGGCTTCTAAAATACTGCAGTCATATTACTTTGTATAATTTCTACCCCATTATTTTATGCTGATTTCTGATTAGTTTAGCACTGTTTTATTTTATATTTAAACATGGTTGCCACATAATTTTTTAGAAGGTGTGATGGAGAAACTGAGGGAGAGACCATTGGCAAAGGTTTTATCTAGCTTTAAAGATCCTACACTGAAATTTCAATCTCAACATCTGTGAACTTCCCCTTTCTTACTTCATGGTACTGATCCCAATTAAGCCATTTCGTGAAAGTGACAACCAATGCCAGGGTTTTCCCCACAAGAGGAAAACATATAATGTACAGTTTTTTTCCTGTAAGCAGCATTATTACATCAAAGAGGAGGTTCTCTTACCATCGGGAAGATAGGAACAGGAATACTTTGTCAGCGCTTCAAGCCTGTTCCACACTCCATGCAATTAGATCACAGTTTACCCGCATCTTAACTCCATTTACCAAATTAAGGTTCCATAACCTCAATACCCTTGATTTAACAAGAATCTCTCTCTTAGTTTTAAAATTTGTCTGGAAGGAAGTTTAAGTATTATTGATAACAATGACTGTTCTAAGCAAAGGGATGAGATATGTTAAAAATATACTGACATCAAAGTATGCTCCTGCATGCTCCAGTATGAGCTGTGTAGAGTCTGGTTTATTCCTACAGTATGTTACGTACATTTGGAACTTGTCAGCCTGTTTGGAAGAAAACAAAACAAAAGGTCAGGAACCAGATTCTTATTGATTGACTAGCCAAATTGAGGAATGGTAATATCTGAAGCATCTTTTTATGTGAGAAACTAAACACAAGTCCTTTGTTAGTAATTGTCAAGACAACAAAATGCTAAGTACTTCAGTTAAAAATGTAACTTTTTAAAATGTGATTTGTTTGTGAGATAAGAAGAAAGATACAGTTATGATGTACACCTTCATACAGATCAGTTTTTACACAGGAAATCAAAGATCATTGTTTTGTTTGGATAGGTATACAAAAAAGAGAATTTCACATGTTTCAAAACCAATTTGTGAACTATATATTGTAAGTTATATACTATAACTATATACTGCCTTGCATTTTTGGCAAGTTTGTTTTAGAGGAAATGTATCCAGTATGTACAAGAATTGCCAATGTTGCCAATTAACATACACTATCCCCTTCCAGGTCCACATTAACATCACAGCAAAAGACAACAAGTGCCAGCCACAAGCGTGAAGGTTGAATTTCCACCGGAGAGTCAGCAGCATGTAATCTAGACTGACACTCTGCTGAGGAAGTGCTGCACTGTTGGAGGTGTAGGTCCTGTTTGTCCTCACAAGTGGATGCAAAAGTTTAAGGTTGAGATAGTTGATGGCACAGCCACTGCGCAGCAAAGAAAATCAGAAATGTTGAAGAGGCTCTTGTGTTTCCCGCAACTCATCCCGCACACCCCCTCCCTGCAATAACAACAAAAACAGAATCCCGTTCATCCTCACGTACCACCCCACCAACCTCTGGATTCAACGCATCATCCTCCGCCACTTCCGCCACCTGCAATCTGATCCCACTACCAAGGACATTTTTCCCTCCCCACCCTTATCTGCCTTCCAGAGGAACCGCTCTCTCCGTGACTCCCTTGTCCGCTCCACACTCCCCACTAGCCCCAACACCCCTGGCACTTTTCCCTGCAACCGCAGGAAGTGCTACACCTGCCCCTAAACCTTCCCCCTCACCCCCATCCCACGCCCCAAGAAAACCTTCCACATTAAACAGATGTTCACCTGCACATCTGCTAATGTGGTATACTGTATCCGCTGTTTCCGACGTGGCCTCCTCTACATCGGGGAAACCAAGCAGAGGCTTGGAGACCGCTTTGTTGAACACCTACGCTCGGTTCGCAACAAACAACTGCACCTCCCAGTCGTGAACCACTTCAACTCCCCCCTCCCACTCCTTGGATGGCATGTCCATCCTGGGCCTCCTCCAGTGCCACAACGATGTCACCCGAAGGTTGCAGGAACAGCACCTCATATTTCACTTGGGAATCCTGCAGCCCAATGGTCTCAATGTGGACTTCGCAAGATTCAAAATCTTCCCACCCCCGACCTTATCCCAAAACCAACTCAGCTCATCCCCACCTCCTTGACCTGTCCATCTTTTCTCCCACCTCCTACCTACCAGCCTCATCCCCGTCTCCTTGACCCGTCCGTCTTCCCTTGACTGACCAACCACCATCCTAACTCCCCACCTACACTCACCTTTACTGACTCCATCCCCGCCTCCTTGACTTGACGGTCTCCTCTCCACCTACCTGCTCCTTTATCCACCTTCCATTTGCCTCCCCCTCTCTCTCTATTTATTTCAGAATCCCCTTCCCCTCCCCCATTTCTGAAGGGTCCAGACCCGAAACGTCAGCATTCCTACTCCTCTGATGCTGCTTGGCCTGCTGTGTTCATCCAGCTCTACACCTTGTTATCTCAGATTCTCCAGCATCGGCAGTTCCTACTATCTCTGAAAGGGTTTTGGACATGTTTTCATTTACATGGATTCCAAGGTGCAAGGCCAACCAGACAGCACTGGAATATTAAAGCTGTCTAAGTAATGAAAAGAGCATGAAAACCAAGAAGTAGGCAAAGGAATAGGCCATAAAGCCCTCTGAGCCTCTTTTGTCATTCAATAAGGTCATGGCTGATCTTCAAACACAACTCTACTTTTCTGCCTGATCACTTTTCATTTGGAGACCAAAATTTCTTTGACTTTAGCCCTGAATATATTCAAGGATTGAAAACATAGCATTCAAGGGCATAAAATTCCAAAGATCTACTCCCAACTGCAAAAAATATATATTTTTGATGATAGTAAAGATACAGTATACACTGTTTACCACTGCATTTATTCAACTGCTATGTGAAAGACAAACAAACTCTGCTCTTCTAACAAGAAGTGTTGATGGAAATGACTTCAAAAAACAACAAAACAAACTAAAAAACTGATTGTGTGGTGTGACAACAAGTACAATCCTGTCTTCATCTGATACCCTTATATGCGCACACTAGAAATCACTGCTTAGTGATGAGCAGTAAAAATCCTTATGGACTTCCCTTCCCTGGACCACAGGACATGGGCTTTGTTTTTACCTTAACCTGTGACCAAAGATCAGCTTACTGTGTGGACTACCGCAAATACCTCAGTTGCTTCTGCTTTAACTGACTAATCCTTCAGGGAATTTCATGAAATATTTTAGCTTAATTAAGTAGAAGATATGATTTTGGATACAGGATGTGTTTACGGAGAATGGTGGTAAGCTTATTTTCAATTTCAATATAGAATCTGAATCCTGGCATGAAGAAAATAACAAGTTTTAGTCCAGTATCAGTCGGAGATTTGGATTTTATGTGAACAAGGTTGTGTTTGAATTACATAAATAAATACTTCCAATTAATTATTTTAATAGATTAATGTATTATATGGTTTAGTCAAGAGACACTGCAGCAACTGTCTATCATGTTACCAATTCTGAAGAATACTCATGCAAGAAATCCCTTGAGAGTGACAAATGACTTACCCAGGTGACAAAACAATGTCCTACATCTTCTGGCAGCTGTTCGTACTTCTCCAGCTCTTTCAGGAATAAACTGCAAAGATATTTTGAAATACGTAATCAAAAAGTTGAAAAACACAATTTCAGTTATGGCTTCCAAACAGGATGGTCTGTATTCAGCTAAATATGAAGATGATATCTCATCAGTCACTTTACAGATGGCGTGCAAAGAAGATGGATAATATTGGAATCAAGATTTGAAATTAAAATTCTCGATTTACATTGCAGAGTTTAGATACTTGAAAAATTCAAGTTAACACATTCTAGAGGTAAAACAATACATTTTTATCAACTAGCATTACCTATATTTTCACTGCACAAGTATATCTCTAAACTAGTTTGTTGCAAGGTCTTGCAAACTACGCATGGTTCTACAAGCTTATAGATAAACCAGCTAACTCCATTCCAAAAAATCAAAACTAGAAAACTTGGAGATGTTGTCTGCCTTATTTAGCTACAGCTATGGAAAAGATAGTATTGACATATTCACTTTGGAAAGGCGAGCGCTGATTAGGGATAGTCAACATGGCTATGTGCATGGGAAACTGTGTCTCACTAACTTGTTTGAGTTTTTTGAAGAGGTGACATGCAGAATTGATGAAGGCGGGTGTGGTCTACATGGACTTCAGTAAGGCGTTTGACAAAGTTCCTCAAGGTAGACCGGTTAACAAGGTTAGATCACATGGAATCAGGGAGAACTAGCCATTTTGATACATAACTGGCTCAAAGGTAGGAGACAAGAGGATGGTGGGGGACGATTGCTTTTCGGACCGGAGGCTTGTGACTAGCAGTGCGCCAAAAGGATTGTCTACTGCTTTTTGTCATTCATATAAATGATTTGCATGTGAATATAGGAGGTATAGTTAGTTAGTTTGCATATGACACCAAAATTGGTGTAGTGAACAGCCAAGAAGGTTATCTCAGAGTTTAATGGGACCTTGATCAGAGGAGTGGCAGATGGAGTTTAATTTAGATAAATGTGAGATGCTGCATTTTGGTGAGGCAAATCAGGGCAGGATGTATACATTTACGGGTCAAATCCTGGGGATTGTTGCTGAACAAGGAGACCTTGGAGTGCAGGTTCATGTTTCCTTGCAACCGGAGTCGCAAACTGATAGGATTGTGAAGGTGGTATATGATACGCTTGTCTTTATTGGTCAGTGCATTAATTACAGGATTGGGAAGTCATGTTGCAGCTGTAAAGGATATTGGTTTGGCCACTTTTGGAATACAGCATTCAGTTCTGGTCTCCCTACTATAGAAAGGATATTGTGAAACTTGAAAGGGATTAGATTTACAAGGGCATTGCCAGGGTTGGAGAATTTGAGCTTTAGGGAGATGCTGAATAGGCTGGGGCTATTTTCCCTGGAGCACTCGAGGCTGAGGGGTGACTGCATAGAAATTTACAAAATCATAAAGAGTATACGGTGAACAGCTAAGGTCTTTTCTAAAGGGTAGGGGAATCCAAAAACCAGAGGGCATAGGTTTAAGGTGAGAGGGGAAAGATTTAAAAGGGGCAATTTTTTCATGCGAAGGGTGGTGCATGTATAGAATGAGCTGCCAGAGGAAATGGTGGAGGCTGATACAATGGTCCTGATGTCAGGGTCCTCGGCCCTATGGTAAAATTTGACCAATTATTTCTATGAGAAGAAAAAAAAATCTTAATGAATTGAGATAACAAGGTGTAGAGCTGGATGAACACCTTGTTATCTCAGATTCTCCAGCATCTGCAGTTCCTACTATCTCTTAATGAATTGAGTTTGATGTGAATTATGTTGTTTTCTAGTTTGGTGATAATGATCCAGTAATACCCTTGTCTCTTAATGGGATTACAAGTCTATGTTCATGTATTGAAGGTCTTCAAACATATCTTCTGGCACAATATTCTAGATGGTCCAAAAGTGTTCCAGTTTGCTGAGGTGTGCTATCACCCATTAGATTGGGAAATTGCCAAAAGTGACCATCATCAGATTTTCACAGCATAACTGCAATCAGGTAATTCAGAGCAGTAAGGCATCAACAGGACATTTCACCCTTTCAATTAGAAAGCAGGCTTATTCGAATACACTTATTTTTAACAAAGCATTTTGAAGCAGTTTAGTATTTCTGATAACATACAAACATTAACCTCTTCCTATTTTCATCCCCAGCACAACAACAAACATCTTGAAAAACAGATTGCTTCTGGTTAATGCTGCAATTTATTCATGAATTGTCTAAACATGAGCAGTGCAAGAAAATTGTTGCATCTTATATTTATCTTACTTACTTATTATGGAATTCATAGATTTCCTGCATGTTACCAAATATTATATGTTCTTTATTTACAATCCCAGGTGGAATTTCATCAACACCGCTTGTCATTTCCCAGAGATATGTCTAGTTTGAAGAGAAAAAAACATTTTCAAGTAGTGTGCGCTGAACACAACAATTACTAGTAGTTACATCTTAATAATTGTGTAAAATAGTTCAAGGAATTTAGAAATTTCTAACGGAAACACAGTCTCTCTCTCTCTCTCTCTCCCCCCCGAAATAGGTTTAAGAAAACCACCTCTGAAAAAGTCAAAATTACCTCACAGGCTACAGAGTAGAAGTTTGCTACATACCCTGATTGCCAGTGCTAACACCTTGAGGTATCTGACAGATTTTCTCCTTGAGGACAATTAACACTGGTTCTAATCTATGGATTATTTCTCCACTGGAGGATCTTTTATCTCAGTTATGCTTTGTGGTAGACATTGTTCCTCTTAGATATCATTGTTGGTCGACTTCCTTTTCTGAAGGACCCTTAATCTCCTGAATTTTCTTTGTAGAGGAAATATAAAACCATGAATGACCACCATGGATGACAGCCCCTCTGTTGAAATAAGTACTTTCTTTCTTGCAGTGTTCTGAATTTCCAGACCAGGCTTATCTTTCTAACTGGAAGAGGTATTCTCTTTCTCACAGTACATGGGTTGCTTACTTCGTCCAGGCAATTTCTTTTTCTCGACCGGGACCTGTATTTGTGGAATTGGTCTGGCTTGCATGAAGTCAGTTAAATTCATCTCCCTCAAACTGTTGATCTGGTTGGGTATCTTCAGTTGCCCTCTGTGGTTGTTTGAAAGTGAAGTAGAGTTTTTCAGACTCTGTCATGTTTCTGAAAGATTGCTGATCACTTAAAATAACAATTCCTGAATGCGCTGTAGTGGATTGTGCTGCTCACATCCGTTCTTGATTTTGCTTCTCCTTGCTGGGTTTTATTTCCTGATTTGTATCCAGTGATGACATAAGTATTTTCCAGACCAAACAATCCTGTGTAATAGTAGATTTCACAATCAGAGATCACAATGAGATTTTGAATGAGGACCTGGTGCAGTCAAGGCCCAGTTAGCGATATGGTGGCTCGGAATCTTAAACGTCATTCAAAATCTCATTGTGATCTCTGATTGTGAAATCTACATCTTCCCAAAGGCAAGCTGCAATAACTAGTCTTCTGTCACACATTAGTAAATCGTCTAGGATTGTGAAATGGTACCAGTATTCAAAAATATATGTTCTTGTGAACTCGCTGGACTTTTGGTTTTGCCATCCTTTAATACAATACCAGTGAATGGCAGCACTGTCTTCGTCACACTTGAGCTCTTGTTGAATTTTGTTGGGACTCTTGGGTTCCTCGCTACCATTTCTTTCCTGGCCAAATAAAACATTTTTTGTTCTGTTATTCATAATATCAACCGACTTTTTGTTCATTTTGGATTCCATATTGAGTCTAGGAAGCCCAATGAAATCTTCCACTAGCTGCTTTGATTGAATGGTCAACAACATGTGTGATCTGAGCTGTGGTTGGAAAACTATTTGATTCTGAACTACTTATTCTCTTGGAATTATTGGGACCCTTTCTGCCATATTAAGGAAGAATACGTCAAGACATGTACGTAGCCTGAAAAGACAGGCATATCAATTGCAGCTTAGACATATTTTTGGGTCTTACATCCTTGCACAGTAGTGTAACTTATGTTCTGGACAATTATTCTGCCTATACCACGTAATCTCATCTCTTTAGAATCATAGAATCCCCAAAGTGTAGAAATAAGCCATTAATGCCATCACAATTGTAACTGGTCTAACAGAACATCAAACTTAAATGAAATTCAAATTAACATAAACAAGTTCTGTGAAATTCAAGTCATTTGAATCACAGAAGTTGTCGATGAAAGAATCAGTTATTTGTTAGATGATACTGCGCTCTCTACATACACAGCACCTTTCTTTGCAGCTCTGTAACTGTGCCCTACTTCTATGTACTTTCAAGAAGACTATCAGTTTTACAGATTTAGCATTCTTTTGTCAAGACTCAATTTTGCTTGTTAGGCTTTGCTGTTCTACAGCGCTGAGATTGACTTATTTCTTCTCAATCTAGTTATTAATTCTTATTACTGTAAAGCTGTTTTAGATCTGCATAGTTTCATTACTCTTTCAGACTGTTTTTTAAGTTTATACACTTGCAGTTACCAATGCCGCTTAAAATTCTGTAGCAGTAAAGTTTGCTCGCCTCTGAAGTATTTTACTTGTTTACCAATCTTCTGAAGCTCTGTATTGATGGAATGAATTCTTCAATAAAAAACTTTATGTTATATAAATGGCAGTTTTGTAGTGAGTTACTGCTTTGAAGCTTTCAAAATTTTGCTTTTTTGTATAGGTGTACTGCTTATTGGGTTTTCCCACCTCGTCTTAATGATCAAAATGACAGCTCCCCTTCATTTTTAGGATTTTCCCAGCTTCTGCAGACAAAATGGATTTTTCCACACATTCCCTCCACATCGCACCACCCCACCGCGTCTAGAACACAATAATAACAAGCAGGCATAATCTTAAAGTGGAAAGCAGGAAGTTTAATGGGGATTTGAAGAAACATTTTTTCACCCAGAGGGTGGTGTGGGTCTAGAACTGCCTAGAAGGTAGTTGATATGAGAAACCTCACAACCTGTAAAAAGTACTTACATGAGTATTGAAGTGTCATAAGATTGAAGGCCACAGGCCTAGTGTGGGAAAAGGGACTAGTGCAAGTAGTGTATTTTTGTTAGCACAGACTTAATAGGCCAAAGGGCCTCTTCTGTACTACATGAATATGATCAGGGGTATGCTCAATGTGAGGACAGTAATGTGTTACCAGTACGGTCTTGAATAGATACATCTGTAGTGGCAAAATGGCGAGGAAGAGCTCAAGTACACTTTTCCTTTTTGTGTCATGACCTCACCACCTGCTGCAGACCCAGCCTAACAACAATGTTCTTCAGGACCTGACTAGCTTGGTCAGTGGTGGTGCTGCCGAGCCACTCTTTTTGATAAACACCCAAGTGCCCCAGCCAGAGTACATTTTGTATCCCTGTTCAACATGGAGGAGTATTGATTCGTCAACTGAGGTAGGGAGATAACCATCAGGACATCTGCTTGTCTGTGTTTAATCTGAAGCCATGAGATTTCCTAGGGTTTGTACTCAATGTTATGGATTTCAAGAGCCAGTCCATCCCTACTGTACACAGTTGTGCTTCCACATCTGCTGGGATGGTGATGTTTGCTCAGTATGACTCAAACTGTCAGGCTGTTGCTTAACTAGTCTGAGGTAGCTCCCCCAATTTTGCCACAAGCTCCAAGATACTATTGAGGAGGAATCTGCAGGGTCGTTTTTGGAGCGTAGGTTGATGCCAGGTGGGCCATCTGATCTGGATATTTGTCGAGCCTCTTCTTCCAATGAGTTGTTTAATTAGCCACTACCAAACACAACTGGATGCTGCACAGCCTATACTTAATCTATTGGCTGTGGAATTGCTTAAATCTGTCTGTTTGTGATTACATTGTTTGGCACACAAATTATGCTGTTTTGTAGCTCCTGATGAGAATTTTCAGCCATCTGGTACAGCTGAGTGGCTTGTTAGGCCAGACCAGATAATGACAACAGATTTCCTTTCCTAAAGGGCATTAGTGAAGCAGATGAATTTGTTCCAACAGAATGGTTTCATGGTTATCCTTAGACTTTTAATTCCCCATTTTTGAATCCAAATTCCACCGTCTGCAATTGTGAATTCAAACCCAGATCCCCTGACAATTATTCTGCTTTACTACTCCAGTAACAATACCATTATGCCATTATCCCATTATCTCCTTCTTTCACATTTTTAAAAATATGCTCTTTTTCAGCTTCAATAATTCGGAGGCCTTCCTGATTCTGCAGCCAGGGTAATAATTACTTCTTTGGCCTTTCACTGCTCTTTGCAGCTGTCTCATGAAACCTATTCTCAATGGAAGTGATCCTCATTTAAAGAAGTGACAACTCACTTTTACACTCCCTTGCCTTTCTGGTCTTTGCACTGTTTTTTGTAAAGCTATCCCCTTTCTCCTAGGGATATCCAACTATACTTCTTGAGCCCCATATAGCCTTCTTTGCTATGGCCTCTGTCTTTTTTTTAAAAAAGTTTTTCTCTCTTTTCCTAGGCCACATACTTTTCCCAGTACCTCTTACCAGCATCATGATGAAGGTTTGTCTTTAGAGTGATGAACTTGCCCTGTTGTTGTTTCTATGGCTGCTGCAATTTCTCTGTGTTAATTGCATTTCAGTTGTTGTCATTGTCTTCTGAAAGCGGTAATACACCTAAATGATGCATTCACTTCAGAAACTTATCTCTTCTTGCTCTTCCAGAACAGCATGGAATTTGAATCTGTACCATGCGGCATTTACTCCATTTGCCACAGCTGGCACCTTGTGGTCTCTTCCACTTTTGCTGGTATTGGACAAAGGATAAGGGTTGTTTGAGCTAGTTTGCTAGCACCAATTTTCCTTTGTCTATGTAGTGTCTAAGGCCTATGGAATGATTAGTGGCAGAAGACAGACTATTGCTGAGTTTAAACAGAAGCGACACTGGTCTTTCTTGCTTTATTGCAATATGCACAACATACAGTACTAATCAGGCATAATTATTATGGACTCTTGGGAGATGTACAGAATACATCTGTGACTTGCAAAAGCTAGAGTTGAGCTCCCTGTCTTCAATTAAAGACTGTGTGTCATCATCAGATTAGACGACTTCAGTATTAACTCTTTCAGGACCATGATCTTGTGCAACAAGGAGCACCACACATTCTCTTGAAAGTTCTACTTGATTACATTTAAAGCATGTTGCTTCCAATAAATCACATTTTTAAAAATAATTTTATTTGTTTCTAAGCAACATTAACATTTCCAAATGCAGGTTTTCTCGTACTAAACATTCATAATACATTTGCCAACAGATGACAATTTACGTGGTTCACAGTAAGACAGACTATAAGACATTAGCTAAAAGGAAAACCACTTCTACACATAACTGTAAGCATAGCTAAAAACATATCGATTAGAAGTTTTCGAACATAACATCACAACTGATTCTCTAAATATGAAACACAATAATAAGCCTATGCCAACCTTCAGAACTTTATTCAAGACTTTTTTAACATTCAGTCTATTCTTAAAAATCATTAAATATAGTCTTCACTCAATAAGTGACTAAGACAACCAAATTGCAGGATTTCTACAACATAGCAGATGATTCCATCAGTATTCCCTATAAATAATTATGAGAAGGGTAACTTACTTCTAAACACTCTCGAAGATCTCGTACGTAAGCTTTCTCAGTTTGGATTAGTTCAGCCATAATAAATCTGAGGACAAAGCAATAGATCACTTTGCCAGAATTTATAATTATTTGTATTTTTCAACTCTTTAAAATTAATCTTAACCAATTCTTACCTACCTACTCAGACTTTGAGAAACCAAACCTGTATTAAGGCATTTAATAGTCTTAGGAGTTCATTATTTCATACATTAAATATAACTTAAAGAAGAAAACACAACATAATTTGAACATTATTACTGATAATTATACAATAAGGCAGCTGACTAAGTGCCAGTTGTTTCATGTTTTCTGGTGGGTTTTCCACTGTGAGGTCCAGTGATTTCTCACAGTACTTTACCAAACTCACCTCATATTCAACCTAACCCACCCCTATGGCAGCTTCTCTCAGTCAAGTCTAGATTCATTTTACATTCAGGCAGGTATCCGCCGAGAAACCTGCTTTACTTGCTCCCATGCCATCTTTAAAAGTCCATTGTGCACCTGCACAAGGGTTGGTAACTCTGCCATTGCCCCTCACTGGCACCATAATGGGACATTTTTAAGTAACACTGCCCTTAGACTAAGAGGAACATAAACAGAGAGGAGGCTCCGAGTGGTCTAGCTGGCTTGAAAGTACATACATTTCCAGGGCCAGAGATAGGGTTGAAATGTCTAATACTAGAGGGAATGTATTTAAGGTGAGAGGGGAAAGCTCAAACGAGATAGGAGGGGCCAGTTTTTTTTTTTTTTTTTTTTTTTAAACACAGTGTGGGAGGTGCCTAGAAAAAGCTGCCAGGTGTATTGGTGGAGGCACTTTAAGGGACTTTTAGATAAGTACACAAATAAGCAAGGAATGGAGGGATATGAACAATGAGCAGGCAGAAGGGGCTAGTTTTTTTTTCTTTATTCATTGATGGGATGAGGGCGTAGTTGGCTAGGCAACATTTATTGCCCATCCCAAATTGCCCAGAGGGGACATTATAAAATAAGACGGCTGACAAAATGCCAGTTGTTTCATGTTTTCTGGTGGGTTTTCCACTGTGAGGTCCAGTGGTTTCTCACAGTACTTTATCAAACTCGTCTCACATTCAACCTAAAGGACATTAGTGAACCAGATGGGTTTTTCCTGATAATCGGCAACGGATTCATGTTCACCATTAGACTCTTAATTCCAGATTAATTCAAATTCCACCATCTGCTGCAGATTCAAACCCAGGTCCCCAGAACGTTATCTGGGTCTCTGGATTAACAGTCCAGTGATAATACCACTAGGCCATCGCCTTCCCAGTAACTTGGGTGTCATGTTCGGTACAACATCGTGGGCTGATGGACCTGTTCCTGTGCAGTACTGTTCTATGTTCTTGATGGAGGGGTTAATGACTGAGGGCAAAGATTTAAGGTAACTGATAAAAGATTTAGAGGAGAGATGAGGAAAACCTTTTTCATCCAGATGGGAATCTGGAACTCACTGCCTATAAGGGTGGTAAAGGCAGAAACCCTCATAACATTTAAGAAGTATGTAGATGTGCACTTGCGATGCCAAGGCATACAAGGCTACAGGCCAAGTGCTGGAAAAATAGGACTAGAATAGCTAAGTGGTTATTTTTGATCAGTGTGGATGAAATGGGTTGAAGGGCCTTTTTCTGTGCTGTAGATCTCAATGACTCTTTTAAGTCATTGCAATGAACTTCTGAATTACTGAGACAACAATGTTAGCTTTGCAAGCATCAACAGCATGGTGTAACCAGTCTTTAATCAGCATTGCAAACTCATGCTTCATGTATTTACCCTTTCACGTCCCAGTGCCCAGCAGATGTGGATCCTGCACTTTCGCCATTAAACTAACACTTACTGTGCTCATTTTAGTCATTGTCCCAGCCATTTTACAACTGTATTCTGCATGTAGAGATTGGCAAATTATGGCAGGGAATCCAGCTCACAGTGAACAATCAGCACCAGGATCCACCTGGTCGCTTGCCGCACCCCACCACCACCACCCCCGCCCCCGGCCGCTCCCACCACCCCCCCCACCCCACCAACCCCGCTCCCCCACCCAACCAAAAAAACAGTGCTTCCTTGCCCTCTTTTATCTCTCACTTACCCTGACAGGCCATTTCCATCTATCCCTCCCTTCATGGAGATCCACCACACTGAGCTTTGCCTTCAATTGTCATCCCAGCTTCCTAAGCCCCATCATTACAACTTAATGACACCACCCTGGACCTTTATGCACCCCCTGTGGACATTAGGGTGGTGGTCATTGCAAATAACTCTCCTCTCTCACAGTCTACCAAGACCCTGGACTGTGACCATGACAGTTGACACCAGGACTCCATGATCAACAGTGTCCCGCTTTCCCTGCCTCTCCCTTGAACAGATTGAAAATAATACCCACCCACTTTCCAGCAGCAAATGGATCAGAGAGGTGCCACAAGAAACCTGTGGGGTGGACAAATCTTGAATGCCAATATCTGTGGGTGGCTGAGTGCGTTCAGTTCTACCTGTGGATCATGCCCTGAGACAATGTTTGGTGCTGAGCAACATGAAAGCTCTTTACAGTAAACTGTAATTTGCCAGGTATCTGCTCTAACTTTCTTGTCGAGAATTCTCAACATCTATTTTATTCGGCACGTTTGGTAAGATTGGAAGCTGATTATTAATAAGCTGAGTTGTGTTGTTAATAAGGCATTTATCAAGCAATAATTCACATTAATTGGTAACCATCCACTGCCAAATGAGAAACCTGCCTCATCGCAAGTGCATAAAAGATACGAGTTTATCAGAACATCAAGATAGGCCTTGCCAGACTCTCATGTAATTCTGCCACAAATCTTGCCATAGCCCAGGTCATCAGGCTCCTATAAAGGAGTCCATCCATAATTTCATCCTTATGGAACATTATTTACATTTGCAAAAAATAATTTACTGTGCTTTCCAACTTGATCTACATTCACATGTCCATACCCAACAGATAGATATGGATGTAAAAGGAGCATGGTCTGTAAAAAAGTAACTATAATTTAATTTTCTTAAATCAGAACTAGAAACTTCAATGATCAATTGAAAGAAATCAAAACATACTCCTTCCGACGAGCTGATTTACGCCTTTCTTCATTAAGTTCATGTGCGGCATCACGGAGTTTCACCTCTGAACCAGGAGCACTTGCTGGGATGATGTCCAATTGCAAGTCTTTGCTCTGTATTGGAAAATGGAGTAAACAAAGCATAAGTTTTTAATTCATGTGAGGAAAATACTGGAAATACAAGAACAGAATATCTAGTTGCTTTGATATCTTACCCCTTTGGAGTCTGAAATTCCAAGTGCTTTTTCTAATGCTACACGATACTTCTCCATGCGAAGGGAGAAATCCCGATATCGCTTATCTACTGCTGTGACCCAGTTTTTGATTTCCACAGCATGTGAGTGTCCTTTTTCACAAAAGCCATCAGCCAGCTGTATCAACAGTTTCACACGATCTTTGGTTTGCTATAAAAGGAGGACCAAATTTAATATGCAGGTATTCACATTTTATTTTTAAAAGTAGCTTTGGCTACTCTAGTATAAATATTAAGCTAATCCTTTATCATACATTAAAATATTCACATCATGTGCTGAGTTAAAGGTACTAATTTCAGACATTTAAAAAAATAATGCCAATGCGGAGACAATTTTTGAACACAACTAAAATAGGCATGACTGTTTTCTTACATTTTGTCCATCTTAGTTCCTAAATGCTCAAAATCTTCAAACTATTAAAATTAAATTCAGACATGTTAAGATGTAAATTTCTTCCTCATCTACAATGATGTCCTATGTGGAAACTTAGCAATCAAGAATTTCAATACATTTTTCAAGACAACAAATTAAACATCAAAACTCAACCTGCAATATTAACCTCTGCTGTGGGTCATGATCCTGCTCTACCTCTTCTCCTATTTTGGGCAGCAGAGAAATGGTAACATTGCTAAATATACTAAGCACCATTCAGGCAAAGTAAAAATCCAGGCTTTCCTTCATGTTTGGATTGACTTTACATGATTTTTATCAAATCAGAAGCATCTTGCTCACCTTTGCAGTAATTTGGAACTCTTCATGTTCTTTTAAAAGCTCCTGAGTATGTGGGATGCTGGAGCCTGTGGATGTATGAGTGGACAGATAGAACTCCCCAGTATCATGGATCCACTCCAGTGCCTAAAACAAGGACATTGTATCTTAAGCAGTGACATTCATAGAAGCAGAATTACATGCATTAATATGAAGATCAATGTCCACTAATACTTCTTAACTGCTGGATTAAAACCTTCTGGATAAATTTTCCACCGCAGCACAGGCATTCTTCCATTGTATCCATAAGATTCTCAGTTACATCACATTACATTTTAAAATATATAATGAAAAATTACAGTATGCAACTTATTAGAACATAAAATTCACTCAATTTTAGTGGGACTCTGTTAAATGTGACTTTGATAGTTTTAAGTATTACTATTAAAAGATAAAATATCACACATGCTGGAAATTGTATTAAGAAGAGAAAATGCTAGAAATACTCAGCAGGTTTAACAGCATCTGCGATGTAAGAAGCAGAGTTAATGTTTTATCTTTATTAGGAAGAAGTTAGAGATGAAACAGGTTTTGAGAAAAGGTTGGCTGGGACAAGGAAAAAGGTGCGTTAGTGTTTAAATTAAGATATCCTGATAGATAGAAGTGTTCCAAAATTGAAAGTCACATATTCAAACATGGTTTTCCATTTTCATTGGGAGCACGAATGTCAGGTCAGGTCAGTTTTTTGCACAGACCATTTCACAAAAAAAGTTGGCCAGTGAAAGCGTCAATTGCCTCCAGTGCACAGGGATTTTGGGATCTTACACAGTCCATTCCTGAGCAAAGACCCTGGACTGTGAATATTATACCCGCTAGGAGAAAGTCTGTGTTTTGTGGATTCATGTGGATAGCCGGGAAACCCCTTTGGGGAGGTAAGGTACTTTGATATGATTTTGGGTCCTGTTGGTTACAGGATCTGGTTTCCTTTGTCTATAAATTCCATAAAGGCATTGAAACTGTAAAATTGTCAAACAGTGTCAAACCCGTCAAGAAGTGCAAACTTCTGTTAAAGTGTCAAATTATGTTTTAGTGAATCAGTGTTTTTCTTGATGGAGTGTACACAGCAATATAGAACTTTAATGAATTTTTTTTTCTCCTGTGTTCATGGGCACTGGTGAAGTCCAAGTGTGTTGACACAGTACGCGAAGATGGAACAGGTGGATCGATGAGTTGCCAAAGGAAGCATAAAGGACCTCAGATATGGGTAGGCGATAGCCGAGTGGTATTATCGCTCGACTGTTAATCCAGAAACCCAGCTGATGTTCTGGGAACCCAGGTTCGAATCCCACCACAGTAGATGGTGGAATTGGAATTCAAAAAAAGTCTGGAATTAAGAATCTACTGATCACCATGAAATCATTGCCGATTGTTGGAAGAACCTATCTGGTTCACTAATGTCTTTCAGGGAAGGAAATCTGCCACCATCACCTGGTCTGGCCGACATATGACTCCAGACCCACTGCAATGTGATTGACTTTCAACTGCCCTCTGAAATGGCCTAGCAAGCCATTCAGATGTACCAATCGCTTCAAAGAAATGAAACTGGACAGATCACCTGGCATCGACCTCGGCACCGGAAAAGACAACGGCAGAAACAGCCCTGTTGACCACGCAAAGTCCTCCGTGCTAACATCTGGGGTTTAGTGCCAAAATTGGGAGGGCTGTCTCACAGACTGGTCAAGCAACAACCTGACATAGTCATACTCACAGAATCATACCTGACAAACAATGTCCCAGACACCACCATCACCATTCCTGGATAGGTTCTGTCTCACCAGCAGGACAGACCCAGCAGAGGGGGCGGCACAGTGGTATACAGTCGAGAGGGTAACGCTCTAGGAGTCCTCAATGACGACTCCGGACCCCATGAAGTCTCATGGCTTCAAGTTAAACATGGGCAAGGAAACCTCCAGCTGATTACCACATACCATCCTCCCTCAGCTGATGAATCAGTACTCCTCAATGTTGAGCAACACTTAGAGGAAGCACCGAGAATGGCATGGGCACAAAATGTACTCTAGGTGGGGGATTTCAAAGTCCACCACCAAGAGTGGCTCAGCAGCAGTTACACCAATCGAGCTGGTCGAGTCCTAAAGGACATAGCTGCTAGACTGCGTCTGTGGCAGGTGGTGAGGGAACCAACAAGAGGGAAAAACATATTTGACCTCATCCTTACTAATCTGCCAGCTGCAGTTGCATCTGTCCATGACAGTATCGGTAAGAGAGACCATTGCACAGTCCTTGTGGAGGTGAAGTCCCGCATTCACATTGAGAACCACCTCTATCATGTTGTGTGGCACTATCACCGTGCTAAATGGGTCAGACTTCGCACGACTCTACAACTCAAGACTGGGCATCCATGAGGCGCTGTGGGCCATCAATAGCAGCAGAATTGTACTCTAGCACAATCTGTAACCTCATGGCCCGGCATATCTCGCACTCACCCATTACCATCAAGCCAGAGAATTAACCCTGGTTCAATGAAGAGTGCAGGAGGGCATGCCAGGAGCAGCACCAGGCATACCTGAAGATGAAGTATCAACCTGGTGAAGCCGCCAAACAGGACTACTTGCACGCCAAATGGCAAAAGCAGCAAGTGATAGATAGAGCTAAGCGATCCCACAACCAACGGATCAGATCTAAGCTCTGCAGTCCTGCCACATGCAGTTGTAATTGGTGGTGGACATTTAAACAACTCACTAGAGGAGGCGGCTCCACAAATATCCCCATCCTCAATGGTGGAAGAGCCCAGCACATCAGTGCAAAAGATAAGGCTGAAGCATTCAAGTATTCTTCAGCAAGAAGTGCTGAGTGGATGATCCATCTTGGTCTCCTCCAGTGGTCCCCAGCATTACAGATACCAGTCTTCAGCCAATTCGATTCACTCCATGTGATATCAAGAAACGGTTGAAGACACTGGATACTGCAAAGGCTACCGACCCTGACAACATTCCAGCAATAGTACTGAAGACTTGCGCTCCAGAACTTGCCGCTCCCCTAGCCGAGCTGTTCCAGTGCAGTTACAACACTTATATCTACCTGACAATGTGGAAAATTGCCCAAGTATGTCCTGTACACAAAATGCAGGACAAGTCCAACCCGGCCAATTACCGTCTCATCAGTAAAGTGATGGAAGGTGTCATCGACAGTGCTATCCAGCAGCACCTGCTCAGTGATGCCCAATTTGGGTTCCTCCAAGGCCACTCAACTCCTGATCTCATTACAGCCTTGGTTCAAACATGGACAAAAGAGCTGAATTCCAGAGATGAGTTGAGAGTTACAGCCCTTGATATCAAGGCTGCATTCGACCGAGTGTGGCATTAAGGAGCCCTAGCAAAACTGGAATCAATTGGTATTCGGGGGCAAACGCTCCGGAGGTTGAAGTCATACCTGACACATAGGAAGATGACCGTGGTTGTGGGAGGTCAATCATCTCAGCTCCAGGACATCTCTGCAGGAGTTCCTCAGGGTAGTGTCCTAGGCCCAACCATCTTCAGCTGCTTCATCAATAACCTTCCCTCCATAAGGTCAGAAGTGGGGATGTTTGCCAACGATTGCACGATGTTCAGCATCATTTGTGACTCCTCTGATATTCAAGCAGTCCTTGCTCATATGCAACAAGATCTGGACAATATCTAGGCTTGAGCTGACATGTGGCAAGTGACATTTACGCCACACAAATGCCAGGCTATGACCATCACAAATAAGGACAATTTAACCACCGCCCCTTTTCATTCAATGGCGTTACCATCACTGAATCCCGCACTATGAACATCCTGGAGGTTACCATTGACCAGAAACTCAACTGGATTCACCACATAACAGGGAGGCTACAAGAGCAGGCCAGAAGCTAGAAATACTGTGGCAAGTAGTTTACCTCCTGACTCCTCAAAGCTCGTCCACCATCTACAAGGCACAAGTCGGGACCATGATGGAACACTCCCCACTTGCTTGGATGAGTGCAGCCGCAACAACACTCAAGAAGCTTGACACCATCCAGAACAAAGCAGCCCGCTTGATTGGCACTATATCCACAAGCATTCACTCCCTCCACCACCAACGCTCAGAAGCAGCAGTGTGTACAATCTACAAGATGCACTGCAGAAATTCACCAAAGATCCTCAGACAGCACCTTCAAAACCCATGACCACTTCCATGTGGAAGGACAAGGTCAGCTGATATATGGGAACACCACCACCTCCATGTTCCCCTTCAAGCTGCTCACGATCTTGACTTGGAACTATATCGCGGTTCCTTCACTGTTGCTGGGTCAAAATCCTGGAATTCCCTCCCTAATAGCATTGTGGGTCAACGCACAGCAGCAGTTCAAGAAGGCAGCTCACGGCCACCTTTTCAAGGGCAATTAGGGATGGGCAAGAAATGCTGGCCAGCCAGCGACACCCACATCCCACAAATGAATAGAAAAAAAAATGAGTAGAGAGATTTAAGGTGAATGATGGTCAATGGGAGATGGGAAGAGGAACATGAGGTGCCATGGGTGGGGCAAGAGAAAATGAGGCGGTGCAAGGGATAAGGGTTGGACGAACACTTCATATTTTACTTTTTTTTTTTCAAGGTTTGGGCATCATGCTACAACCCCCAGACAGATCTCCTGCTCAGCCCGCATTGGCAACAGGCATTCTCCTCAATTCTTCTTGAATCACCAGGCGAGAACTCCACACCAGCCTGCACCTTCCTGGACCAATAATGGCAAGTACAGACTAGGGAGGGATGGTAACATAGTGGTAATGTAACTTAACTTAGTTAAGACTAAGCTGGAAACACTGGATTCAAATCCCACCAATGCAGGTGGTGGAATTTAAATTGAATTAACATATCTGAAATATAAGTTTCGTCTCAGTAATAGTGACCATGAAGCTATCAAATTGTTGTAAAAGCCCATCTGGTTCACAAATGTTTTTTTTGGAAGAAATCTACTATCCTTCCCAAATCAGCCCTTAACCGCTCTAAGAAATGGTCTGAGAAGCCACTCAATTCAGGAACATTTGTTAATGGCCAGGTTTGTAGGGCCAGAAATTTTCCTGTCTCTGCTCACAAAATCCAAATCTAAGGATATGGAGTATGCCATTAAGGACTGAGACGAGGTGAAATCTTTTCACCCAGACAGTGGTGAGCCTGTGGAATTCTCTGCCAAAGCAGTGGAGGGCAAAACACAATGTTTTTAAAAAGGTGTTAGACATAGTTCTTATGGCTAAAGGGATCAAAGGGTATGGGGAGGAAGTGGGAACAGGAGTATGAGTTGGTTGAGGCAGACTAGGGTTGAAGGGCCAAATAGCCAACACTTGCTCCTTTTTAAAATGTTTCTACATAACCTGAGAATTGATAAATTGAGGCCTTAGTCTTACAAGGTCAAAGCAGCAAGAAAAGTAACAAGGTAACAAAAGGTGTGCATGGAACAGGTATGCTGTTGATTGAAATAAAAATAAGAGTAAAACCAAAAAGTACGAAGGAATGAAAACAGGAATACAAAGCTTATGGTCATAAATTATTGAATTCAGAGTAAAGTCTGGAATTTGCCAAGTGCCTCACTGAAAGTTAAGGTGCTGTTCTTTGAGCTTACATTTAGCTTCACTGCAACAGAACAGCAGGCCAAGGGCAGAGATGTTAGCCTGAGAATTAGGTAGAGAATTAAGCCAATGCCTGTTGAGACTCAAGGACATACTTGCGAGCCGTAGGTGTTCTGCAAAGCAGTCATTCAAGTTGAGTTTGCTCTTCCCAACATACAGGAGACCATATTGTCAGCATCAAGTATTATACTGAATTGAAAGGAGCAAATGTAAATCAATGAAAGCAAAACACTGCAAAAGTTCAGAAAAAGAGTCAGAGCGGACTTAAAACGTGAACTCGGTTGATAGTCCAATTAGGGAAGAGGCCCTACTAGACCTTGTATTGGAGCATGAGCCTGGTGAGGTGACCAAATTTCAGTGGGAGGGCATTTTGGGAACAGTGATATCATAAGTTTTGAGTTAGTCGTGTATAAGGATAAGACTGGTCCTTGGGTGAAAGTGCTAAAATGGGGGAACAGTACTGACAACAGTATTAGACAGGAAGTGGACAAATTAAACTGGGGGCAACTGTTTGAGGGTAAATCCACATCAGACATCTGGGAGTCTTTCGAGGACCAGTTGATTCAGCGTTCAACACCAGCATGTTTCTGTGAGGATGAAAGATAAGGACGGCAAAATTCAGGAATCTTGGATGAGAAGTCATATTACAAGTTCAGTCACAAAGAAAAAGGAAGTGTACGTAAGGTTTAGGAAGACGAAATCAACCAAAGCGCAGGAGGAGTATAAACGAAGGAGAAAAGAACTTAAACAAGAAATTAGGAGGGTTGTAAGGGACCATGAAATGTCCTTGTCAAGTAAGATTAAGGAGAATCCTTAATTTTAGCCTACAAAACATTTTATAACTATATTAGGAGCAAGAGGGTAACAAGAGAAAAGGTAGGTCCACTAACAGCAAAGGAGAGCATTTACATGTGGAGCCAGAGAAAGTGGGTGAGGCCTTAATGAGTATTTACATTGGCATTCACCAAGGAGAAGGACATGGCTAAGGTAACATTAGGGAAGGGCATACTGATATTCTGGGGCATGTGAATATTAAAAAGGAACTGGTGTTGGGCATCTTGAAAAACATTAACGGAGGTACCGGTGTTGGATTGAGATGGACAAAGTCAGAAGTTACACAACACCACGTTATAAACCAACAGATTTATTTGAAATCACAAGCTTTCAGAGCACTGATCCTTCGTCAGATAAAGTTTCAAGTTTCTGCAGAAGACTTCACCTGACAAAGGTGCATTGCTCCGAAAGCCTGAGATTTCAAATAAACCTGTTGGTTTATAACCTGGTGTCATGTGACTTTGAAAAACATTAAGATGGATAAGTCCATAGGTCCTAATGGATACTGAAGGAGGCAAAGGAGGAGACTACTGGGGCCTTTTCTACAGATCTCTGTATCCTCTTTAGCCGCAGGCGAGGTCCCTGATGGTTGGAGAATATTCAATGTTGTTCCTTTGTTTAAGAAAGGCATCACGGAATATCCAGGAAATTATAGGCCAGCGAGCCATTCAGTGGTAGAGAAGTTATTGGAGAAGATGCTTAGGGACAGAATTTACTCATATTTGGAGATCAATAGATTAATTAGGGATAGTCAATGTGGCTTAATGCAGTGGAGGTCATGTCTCATAAACTTCAGTGAGTTTTTCAAGGAAGTGATAAAGAAGATTGATGAGGATAGGGCAGTGGATGTTATCTGCATGGACTTTACTAAAGCATTTGACAAGGTCCACCACAGTAGGTTGTACCAGAAGATTCAGTCACATAGGATCCATAGCAAGTTGGATTCAAAATTGGCTCGGTCATAGCAGACAAAGGGTAGATGTGGACGGATGTTTTTCTGACTGATTGCGACCAGTGGTGTTCTGCAAGGATCAGTGCCGAGACCTCTTTTGTTTGCAACATTTATATAAATGATTTCAAGAAACTATAGGTCTGATTAGTAAGCTTGCAGATGACACAGAAATTGGAGGAGTTGCACATAGTGGGGAAGGTTATCAAAGGATATAGAAGGTTATAGGTCAGTTGAAAAATTGGGCAGAGAAGTAGCTGATTGAGTTTAATCGAGGCAAGTGTGAAGAGATGCATTTTGGGATGTCAAATGCAACAGCAAAGTTTACAGGAAATGGCAGGACCCTTTGGAGCATTAATATACAGAAGGGTCTTGGAATTCAAGGCCATAGTTCGCTGAAAGTGGCAACAGAAGTGCATAAGGTGGTAAAGGAGATGTACAGCATATGTGCCTTCATCGGTCAGAACAGTGAGCATAAAAGTTTGCAAGTCATATTGCAGCTGTGTGTCTTTAGTTGGGCTACATTTGGAGTATTGTGCGCAGTTCGGCTTGTCACGATATAAGAAGGATATGAAAGTTTTGCAGACAGTGAGAGAGAATTTTACCAAGATGTTGCCTGGATTGAAGTGTATTAAACTATAAAAAGAGGTTGGACAAACTTGGATTGTTTTGATGGAGCATCAGAGACTAAGTGATGACCAGACTGAAGTATAAAGAATATAAAATTGAGAGGCATGGAAGCGTGGGTAGTCAGAAGATGGAAATGTCAAATACTAGGTGGCATAGATTTAAGATGAGAGGGTGCAAGTTTAAAGGAGATGTGGGAAGCAAGTTTTTTTAAAAAACACAGAGAGTGGCAGAAGGACATATGTTAGCACAGGTTAGGAGCCATTTGGATAGATACCTGAACAGGCAGGGAATACAGGAATACAGAATACATGTGTAGGCAAATGGGATTAGTTCAGAATAGCATCATGGTTAGCACATACATGGTGGGCTGAAGGCCTGCTCCTATGTTGTATTGTTCTTTGATCTGTTTCTCTCCACAAATGCTGTCAGATCTGCCGAGTTCCTCCAACATTTTCTGCTTTTACTGGATGTAAGTCACTGCTTCAGCAAGAAAGAGGGTCTGACGTCTTTGATGGTGACAGCAACAGAGATTAAAGGGTAGATGTTACTTCTCCTGCGTTTATATGGAAGGGATGTTGAGGCTGTCTGGATAGTGGACTAGGGTATGACACAGAAAATAGTTCCTCTTGAATGCTTACAGAAGTTTGGAAGATGTGTTTGCCACCAATTCCTAAAGCTAACTCTCCTACACTTCCTCATACCATATACCATACAAGGATTCCAATCAATTCTCAGTTCCTTCATTTTTATCACATCTGTTCCAACGATGCAACATTCCAGATCAGTGTTTCCGAAAAACTGTCTTTTTATATCGAGTGCATAGATATTCTCCACCTCCCACTGTAGTGATACGGTCCTTAACTACGTCTGTCACATTTCCTGCATTTCTGCTGTCATCCTTTCCTCTCTCCTAGAACCATGACAGGATTCCCTTTTCCTCACCTTCCATCCCATCAGCCTCTGTAATTAGCCACTGCTGGCAATGATGTCACCAAATACATCTTTCCTTTCCCTTCCATTTCACCATTCCAATGGGATCCTAACCTTGTGATACTTAGTCCACTTCTAAAAAATTATTGGAAATACACAAGTCATGTATGGGATTGAGTGATAAGATCAATTCTGAAAGCTTCAAGTTCGTAACTATTTTTTACTTTGTTTCAGTTACCAAGGTTAAAAAAAAATTCTGTTCATTATTTATTCAAGAACTTTTCTTACCTGTTTAGCACTCCTCTCAAAGACCACATACTGCTGACACTGGTCCAATCGCTTCTTTCTCATGGTCCAAAAATGCAATACTCGGTTCTCCCTTTGTAGTAACTCATTAAGAATGTCTGAAACATGTGAAGAATGTACCATGTTAATGTACAGAAAGTCTGTATGACAGAAACTATTTAAATGAGAAAAAGAAATATGCAGGTGTTAAAAAACTGACAGAGGATGTGATTCTTTCTAGGAGCGAGTTACAGATTCGTAGGAATGACAATGATTTGAACTTTTCAAGTGGTTAATAAAAAATTTCAAATAGTTCAAAGAGGATAATCAAAAATATTGAAAATAAAAGAAGTAAAGAGAATGCTAAAGGAGAAGATTATGGAGAGATTTAGAAAGTAAATCCTAGAACACTAGGCCAATGTAACTGAAAGCATGCCCATCAACAATAACGCAAAGGGATAGGAGAAAGATAAATAAGACGCCAGAATCAGAGGAATGCAAAGCTCAAGAGAAAAGCTGAATGGCAGGACAGATTCACAAGAGACACAAGCATAAGGCCAGAAGAGTAAGCAAAGTTGATCTTTTGCTCCTGATCTCAACATGAAGCAAGCTGTTGAGGGAGGTTATGAACTCAGCTATTAAAATTCTCCAGAAGATACAGATATTGTACCCCAGAAAGAATAACCACTCTCCAAAATTCATGAAAAGGTCAATTAAGTTGTAAAGTACGATTAAAAGAAATCTACACCAACGATGTCTGACAAAAAGTAATGCATTATGTAAGATTTCATTGAAGCAAATGGAAAATGAAGTGAGAACCCGAGAAATAGATACAACTGAAAATGTTCAGCCATATCACGGAAAGGTATAGAACTTTGATGATCCAAACAATCAAAACAGTTTGACAAGTTAGAATAGCAAAAGCATAACAGTGATGATCAGATAGTTACAGCATTTACTAAGCATATATCTGCACTTTAGAAAAAATAGCACTAACTTGTCTTTCTGCAGTAACTCTATGCACGATATCATAGAGGATTGTGAAGACAGTATAATCGTTTCTTGACGATTACAGGTGACATATAACATGCAAACCTTGTGACCAGATCACGTACATCTGAGAAAGCTGTGGTCAGAGAGGAAATTGGAATGGGGGTGTGGGGAGTAATGCTGTGATTGCAAATTGAAAATACTAAATCCTGATGAGTTTCTGCAGGTGTTATAAATAATCCTAAACAGCAAGTAAGAAAAATGCAAAATACAATCCCTAAGAAATAGACTCAGATAGTTTTGGCCAAAATTACATACTAAAAATGTCCAATTAAATTGAATTAGAAACGAGCCAGAAACTAAACAGAAATATTTATCAGAGGTGCAACATCAAATTGTGGATGCAAATGTTCAGTGAAATTCCATAAATTTCAATCATTGCTCCTGTTAATTGTTCTGTCATGTTAATGAGTGTCCAGACTAATCAGAAAAATTAACAGATAAGTGCAATTATTGCAGTTATTGCAGTTATCACATTTGCTGTTGACAGAAAAGTAAGATTAGAAGACACAGTGGATACATCTAAGCCAGGACAGTATGTAATTTGAAGACAATGACATTCCCACGTGCCTTCAACCCTTGTTCATCGAGGTTAGAGGTTCAGAATTAGAAGATGCTGCGAAAGACAACATGGTGACATACTGCAGTGAATCTTATAAACAATACAGTAGGTTCAGTAGTGATATGATTCAATAGTACTGGAGGGACTGAATATTTAAGTTAGTGGGTAAGGCACTGGTCAAGCATACAGCTCTGGGTTTGATAGTATGAACCATCTGAAGTGTTATCATAGCTATACCCATCAAAGGAAGTGGTGAGTATTCCATCATATTTCATGTTTTCACCTTGCAAATGGTGAAAGGAAGCCACTTATCATCAAATATCAACATTTCTGGCAGCCACCGGCTTGGGCTAGCTGAGTTTCTGGTCAATGACGACCCTCAGGGCTTTGATAGTGAGGGCTTCCTTAATGATAATGCCATTCAATACCAAAGGGTGTTGCTAGAGCTAGTCATTGTCTGGCACGTTTTGCTTGCCACTTATCAATCTAAGCCTGATTGTCGGCAAGTTTTGTAGTACACAGGCATGGAACTTTTCATTAGCTCATGGATTGTAAATGGAACGGAACCCTGTTTAACTATCAGCAAATCATCTAATGATAGAAGGAGACTCATTGAAGCAGCAGCTGAAAATAATGAGGCCACCTAGAGGAATTTTCACAGCAAGGACCTGAAACTGAGATGAATCACAAGCAAGAAACACGTTCATCTTCCTTTGTGCCAGATATGACTCCACTCAGAGGAGAGGTTTCCTCCCAATGTCATAAATTTTATTGGGGTTCCTTGGCGCCACACCTACTGGAATGCTATTCTGATGTCAAGGCAACTTCATAACACTACTTGAAGCCAGATCCTTTATCCATGATTGGTTATAAAGAACTATGAAACAGAACAGTTCTGACAAAGCTGAAATTGACATCGATGAGCAGTTCATTTGTAAATGCTACTCTATGGCTTTGTTGATAATTATTCGCAATACATTGCTGGTGACTGAAAGAATATTGCTGGAATGGAAAATGGTCAGGTGCATTTGTTGTTGTTTCCGCACATTGTCATGTGGATTCAATTTTGTAGTAATAGTAGAACAGCTTGGCGAAAGGTAGGGCACATTCTAGTTTCATTTCTAATTTTGACTATAGTATATTATTTCACATTCTTGCATTGGAAAATACAGTAAACGTATATGAGGTGGTTTCTAAAACGTTTTGGGGGGGGGCGGAAACTTATAAGCTAAATGTGCGCAGGCATGATACAAATTCTAAATTTTGCCGATAATGACAAAATCAAAAGGATATCCATTGGAGCTCAGATTTGCAAAACTAAAGAGAAGGTTGATAAATTACCTAACAGGAGAATTAGCATATCAGGAGAATTAATGTGAGAGACCAACAGATAAAACAATCAGTGAGAGTGGACAGAGCATGCCTGACAGGAACAATGCAACAGTCACGGACACGAGCACGAGTCTGAAGGAAAATAGTGAGAGCAGAGAGAGAGTGACCCTGAGGACAATCAGATATGCTCTCATTTTCACTGACTCGTTCACTGATGGGAAAATGTGAGAATCAGACAGTGAAAGGATGTCTGAAGAGAAACCTATTAAAATGGTGAACGCAAAAGAACACAGCTGAAAAGAAACAGTGCAAGTGTCACTGACAACAAACCTGATGTGAAACAGTGAAAATGCCAGTGAGAACAAAGCTGAGGAAAAACAATGCCCAAGTCTGCAGAAGCAAAAGTCGGTGGTGGAGTGTCAAATATAAACGTTAGTGAGAATGGATAGTGCAAGCCTCAGGAGAAACAGTGCAAGAGTCAGTTAGATCTGAAAGCACAGCTAAAGGGAAAGACTGTTACAAACAGTGAGAGCGGAGAAGGTAAGAGGTTTCACATGATCAGGAACAAGAGATCATTTCCATAGCAAGACACAGCTGAAGTGAGTATATAGTTTGGAGAATCTGGAGGCAGTGTGGAAATAGAACTGTAAATCTTGATTTTCTTTCTCCATTTTAAAAGTTTAACATTTAGTAGTCTGGTGACAAGTGGCTGAATCAGCTGACTGAGGGACAGTTATCAGTTAGTCAGTCAGTCAGTCAGTCAATCATCTCATACTTGAATAGGGCCTTAATAGATGTTAATTTGTACTGAAGCTTAACTAGGGAGAGTCATCTCATCTTTAAATTTGGGACCCTGGCATCATATTTAAAGAAAACTAACTTTGATGGTATAGGACATGCACTGGCTAGGATAGCTTGTCAAGAATACTTTGATGGTGGATAGGCAATGTTAGATATTTAAAGAACAGGTGTACATTGCTGTCTGGCACAACAGTAAAACAGGAAAAGTCGCTCAATCATGGCCAACAAGGGAAACCAGGGGTTGTGTTAAAGCCAAAGAGGAGGCATACAAATTGGCCAGAAAAAGCAACAAACCTGAGGAATGGGAGAAATTTAAAGTTCGGTAGAAGAAGACAAGGGTTTAATTCGGAACGGATAAATAGAATTGGAGAGTAAGCTTGTGGAAAACAGCAAAACTGACTGCAAAGGCTTGAACAGATATATGAAGAGAAAAAGACTGGTGAAGACAAATGTAAGTCCCTTGCAGTCGGAATCAGGTGAATTCATAATGGACAACAAAGAGATGGCAGACAAGTTGAACAAATATTTTGGATCTGGCTTCACTAAGAAGGCCACAAATAACTTTCCGAAAATGCTAGAAGACAGAGGGTCAAGCATGAAGGAGGAACTAATGGCAATCCTTATTAGTCAGGAAATGGTATTGGGGAAAATTGATGGGATTAAAACCCAATAAGTCCCCAGGGCCTGATGCTCTGCGTTTCAGAGTACTTAAGGAAGTGGCCCTAGAAATAATGACACATTGGTATCATTTTCCAGCATTCTAAAGACTCTGGAAGAGTTCCAATTGACTGGAGGGTAGCTAATATAACCACAATTTTTAAAAAAGGACAGAGAAAACATGGAATTATAGGTCAGTTAGCCAGTGGCCACTGATGAGGAAAATGCTGGAGTCAATTATTAAGGATGTAATAACTGAGCATTTGGAACGTGGGGACAGGATCTGTCCGAGCATAGATTCACTAAACAGAAATCATGCTTGAAAACTTTTCTGGAATTTTTTAATGATGTAACCAGTAGAGTAGACAAGGGTGAATTAGTGGATGTTATGTTTTTGGACATTCAAAAGGCTTTTGACAAGGTTCCAGACAAGAAATTAGAAAGCAAAATTAAAGCTCATGGTATTGGAGGTAAGGTATTGACATGGCTAGAGAACTGGTTGGCAGACAGGAAGTAAAGAGGTGGAATGAACAGGTCCTTTTCAGAGTGGCAGGCAGTGACGAGTGGTGCACAGGGTTCAGTGCTGGGACGCCAACTGTTCACAATATATATTAACAATTTGAATGAAGGAATTGAATGCAATATTACCAAATTTGCAGATGACACTAAGCTGGGTGGCAGCGTGTGCTGTGAGGAGGATGCTAAGAGGCCACTGGG